CTGACGGATGCTTGGGACATTCTGTCAGGAAAGCCACCCACACAGATTCCTACTTGAAACCCGATTCCCACCACCACCCATCTCAAAATAATTCTCTCATCAAAACGCTATACCACAGAGCTCATGGCATTTCTGACCAACACCACCTGGCCAGTGAATTAAGACATGTACATCGGGCCCTCAGGATGAACGGATACTCTGACCGCACCATCCGCCAAGCTGTTTCTCCCACCATACAGAAACAGCCACAAGAAACTCCGATCAAAACTATCACGTTACCATACATAGAAGGCGTGACCAAAAAAATCTCTAAAATTCTAAACAAACGTAAGATTCAAGTCCAATTCAGTACAGTACATAATATCCGTGACCTAATTCCATCTGTGAAAGATGTCATTCCTGACTTACAATACCCTGGAGTCTACAAACTGAGTTGCAGTTGTGGTGATTGCTACATTGGAGAAACGAAACGTCATATCTCTGATCGTGTCCGCGAGCACAAGTCAGATCTGAAACACGGCAAAACTGATTCTTCCGTTGTTGCCGATCATTTCTACAACGCTGTGGGCTCTCATGAAATTGTCTTTTCCGAGACTAAGGTGCTCTGCAAGCCTCCTGGCTACCATCAAAGGTTTGTACACGAGGCCATCCAAATATGCAAATACAGACATAATTTCAACCGTGATGATGGGTACAAACTTAGTAATCATTGGAAAGATGTTATTAATCGTGCAAAAAAGATTTAACTACACATATTTGGAGCATTCCTGGCAGCGGTTTCAGCCGCACCACACCTCTACATAATAATAGGCTCAGTCAACCATTCTACACAACGAAGACTCATTTCCTGACAGCGAGTTAAGCCACACCACCTCTACATAATATTAGGCTCAGTCAACCATTCTACACAACAACGACTCATTTCCTGACAGCGATGTAAGCCGCACCACCTCTACAGAATAATAGGCTCAGTCAATCATTCTACACACCAAAGACTCATTTCCTTGCAGCGATTTCAGCCGCATCATCTCTACATAACAACAAGGGCTCAGTCCCTTTAACACGCACCTTTACATCATCCGCACCTAGTTTACACAACAAAGGCCCATTCCTAACAGCGTGCTTCAGAGGCACCGAACCTCACAAAAATAATATTCAGGGCCTACCTTGGCTCCTCCCACCCTCAACCAGTATATATACAAATACTGTGTTCTTGGAATTTCTCACTTGATACAGCTATCGTGCTGTGACGGTTCCACCTGAAGACGGAAGCTTGTGTTGCCTCCGAAACGTCGTGATTTTTATTTTACTGTTATTAATTTAATTTTTTTACCTACGTGACTTCACCACATAGACCCATAGACTAATCAGACAGAGACGCATAGACTCACCCCACAGAGACCCACAGACTCGCAGAGAGATCCATGTACTCGCACAGATACCTATAGACTCACAGAGAGACCCATAGACTCACCAAACAGAGACCCATAGAATCACCACCTAGACACCCAAAGAGTCATACAAAAACGCATAGACTCATCACACAGAGAACCACCGACTCAAACAGACTCGCACAGAGCCCTATAGACTCACAAAACAGAGACACATAGACTTGTAGTGGGTTCCACGGAGACTGGGGACGTCTGTTAGAGGCAACTACAATACAGAACTCCCTTAACTCCCACTATCTAGGGAGGTACAGCCTCCGGTCTAGTGTGCACTCGCACTGGGTAATCTGGCTCTCAGCCCTCCGGCGATCTGTGCCCTAAGGAAGGCTAACTGACCCAACCCAGCCAAGGTACGGGTCCCGACCACTGGTCCAAGCTCGGCCCGGCCCTTACAAGGACGTCGGGCTTGGGGTCTCAGGGTCCTAGCTAGGGAGGCTACTCTGACCCGACCCAGCCAAGGTACGGGTCCCGACCACTGGTCCAAGCTCGGCCCGGCCCTTACAAGGACGTCGGGCTTGGGGTCTCAGGGTCCTAGCTAGGGAGGCTACTCTGACCCGACCCAGCCAAGGTACGGGTCCGGGCCACTGGTTCGGGCCACTGGTCCGGGCCACTGGTCCGCGCTCGGCCCCGGCCCTTACAAGGATGTCGGGTCCCGGTTTCCAGGGTCCTAGCCTAGCTAGTCTTCATCTTCGTAGCACTGCCTCGAACCGACCAGAGAACCGCAGGGACTTTCTGCCCCCAATATCTTCCAGTGGATCCTGGAACGCCCCCCCCCCCCCCAAGCCCCTCACCTGGGGTAGGGGAGGGGGAATCCAGGCTCTCTCTCTATCCCCTTGTACAGGCTGGCCCCCCCTACAGACCTCTGGCCGTAACTGCAGGTAAGTGGACAGGCGGTGTGTGCATACGCGTTTCCACGCTACAGACTCACCTCACAGAGACCCATAGACTCACCACACAGATCCATCGACTCGCAGAGAGACCCAAGGACTCGCATGTGAATGTGTGGTAATTTAGTTGAAGGTGGAGGGGGGTTACCAGCTCCTCGCACCCATCTAGAACTCCCTGTAGCCACTGTGGTGGCTGTGAGGCGATGTGAGGTTCACAGATGGTCAGGGTTGGCGCCCCCCCCCAAAATGGCATTTCTCACAACCACCGCTGCGTTATCGACCGTCGCCATTCGCCAATAAGTGACAGTGATGTCACCACGGCACCTGTGCCAGGCCATGTGCACTTTGAAGCCACGTGAAGTGTCAAAGGCTCGCTGACCGGATGTCCTGGAACAGACCCAGGTGCCATGGGTTGTCTGACTGAGATGACTGGCAGATGCACCACCTGTACCCCGTACTGTGCCAAATTGCTGCATATTTATCATCCGGTGTTCCGCTCGTTGTGAGCGTCACTCCTCCGTTTTTGTTGGAGGCTGACTGTCTCCAACTGCCCAGTAGAAGCGTCCTTCACGAGCCTCCCCCGCAGAGGCCGATCCCGACACCGCTGGTACCAGTCGTCGGCAAAGCCCACTCAGCTCCACATCCTTCCGTACCGCATCAGTCCACCTCCACTCCAGCCCATGCCGTGCCCGCCCAGCCCCCTCCATCCACCCACATACTCACTTACCGGCTTACTCACGCACTCACCCACTCATATCTGCTCACGCACCCACGCATGAAATTTTAAATGCAGGCTACGCAATGCATCGTGATCAATTTACACCAAAATCTACTCTCAACCACTTAAACCACATATTCGTGAACGATGCGCACCCTAATCAGCCACGATGGCTGTGTCCAGGGTGTTGTTATGTCACGTAGTAAGACGTTTGTCCTGCTCCCCCCCCCCCCCCCCCCCCCGTTATAACGCGGCGTCTATCTATGGCTTCGTCACATTGGCCTTAATGGACGCGTGGTGATGGTGAAAGATGATTCAGCGATGGACATTGAATTACTGGGACCCCATTTAACGTTCAGGTGACACGGGGCACGGTCAGTGAAGAACCTCTTATCTGTCCTGTAAGCAGACTCCTCTGCGTGGGATATTTATCACCTCATAATGCACAGACAACCGCCAACGCAGTCTCGCCTGCCTGAGGAGCTTGCTGATGATCGGACAGTGTCCAGATCTCTGAAGGATCTGTGAGCTACTCGCACACAAAGATCCCCCTGTAGCCTTTAACAGTCTGTTGGGGCAAGTGCTTTGTAACATCATCAAAGGGGCGCTGCAATACGATGCAATCAAAATCACCGATCAGAGATTTTCCCATATATGGTCTTTGTTGATCATGAATCGAGACTAATTGTATTGATTCCACTCAGTCGATCCGGCAGGAAGCTCAAAATGTCCGATTTAATCTAAAATCCTCTGCTTTTCACAGATCATACAAAGCAACGGTATTGATGCCCGATTTGTATGTACTTTTTATCTTAATTTTTTCATATAGTCTATCAGACTTTTGTGTTAAATCCCTCTGCAAAAAGTCATTTTGTATACTTATAAATCAATATTATGCTAATGCCAAATTTAATCATAGCTGCGATTCAGTTTACTCCGATTCGCTGTCATCTTTAACTCGATCCTGTGAGTGTACAATTTTATTTTAAACTTCATTTAGTGAGTGAAAACAAGACCACTTATATGCTGATGTCCATTTTTATCATAGCTGTGATTCATTCAGCCATTCACTCACTCAGCCACAAACGCATTCAGCCACAGACTCACTCAACGACTCGCTCAACCACTCAGCCGCTCACTCACTCAGTTATTCACTCACTCAACCACTCACTCAACCAATCATTCAACCACCCACCCACTCACTCACTCAACCAACCACTCACTCAATTACTTACTCAACCACTCAACCATCACTCTCTCACTCACTCAGCCATCACTTTCTCACTCCCTCAGCCATCACGCTCTCACTCACTCAGCCACTCTTTCAGCCATTCACTCACTCAGCCACACAATTGCTCAATGACTCACTCAACCACTCAGCCGCTCACTCACTCAGTTATTCTCTCACTCAACCATTCACTCAATCACTCAACCACTCACTCAACCACTCACTCACTCAGCCACTCACTCACTCAGCCACTCACTCACTCAGCCACTCACTCAAGCAATCACTCACTCAATTATTAACTCAACCACTCACTCACTCAACCACCTACCTACTCGCTCATCTACGCACTCGCTGACCTTTCCACTAATATACCCACTTCCCTATCCACTCACTCACCTACCCACTCGCCTATTTTATTTTACCAGGTAAGGCCCACTGAGCTATATAGCTCTTTTTCAGAAATTACCTTGCCATAAATGATAGCCCAATGAAGTGGCTTATCACGATGAAATGTAAATAAGCCAAATACTGTCAATGCATATTTATAAATGTGGAGGGCAAAACCAGAGAATCCGAAGAAGAATTCACTCAACTCCTCATGTAAGCATCAGGGTTTGGATCAAACCTACAACATCCTGAATACCGGGCGAAGCAGTGAACATCTCGTCACCCGGGTCACCCTAATCCATTCCCATATCTCTTCTCCGTGTGTGCTACAGGCGGGTGTCTCAGATTGCCAGCACCATGTGACGGGAGCCCCAGGGCATGCTGCGTGCTCGCCAGGAGGAGCTGGGCAAGATGGCCCAGTCGCTGGAGCAGCTGCTTGCGTGGCACCGCCGCTCTCACCCTGACGGAGTACAGCAACACAGTGGGGCGGCACCAGCAGGACACCCTGGACAACGCAGCCAAGGTGCGCGCCGGCCACTCACTCACTCAGTCACTCGCTCACTCAGTCACTCGCTCATACAGCCACTCATACAGCCACTCACTCAACTTGAACCACTCACTCAACCACTTACTCACTCAGCCACTCACTCATTCAGCCATTCACTCACTCAACCACTAACTTAAACCACTCGCTCAACTACTCACTCACTCAACCATTCATTCACTCAACCAATCAATCACTCACTCGGTCATTAACTCAACCACTCACTCAACCACTCATTCACTCAGACACTCATGCAACTGCTCACTCATCCACTCACTCAACCACACACTCATGCGCTCAAACACTAACTCATTCGCTCAAACACTCACTCATTCAAATACTCATTCAACCACTCACTAATTCACTCAACCACTCACTCAACCACTCACTCAATAACTCAGTTATTCAGCCACCCATTCACTCACTCAACCACTCACTCACTGAACCACTCACTCGCTCACTCAACCACTTGCTCGCTCATTGAACGAATCGCTCCATCAACCACTCCCTCACTCAACCACTAATTCAGCCACTCACTCAACCATTCACTCACTCACTCAGCCACTCACTCATTCAACCACTCACACACAGGCTCATCACTTGTATCTCAACCATCTCACTGAGTAACATAGCTCTGTTTTTTAGAAGTGACCTGGCCACAAATGATAGGTCAACAACGTGCCTTATGTGGAAATTTATAGCAGCCAACTACTCTAAATGCCTGTTTATAAATGTGTAGGGAAAATCTAGAGGACCAGAATAAAAATCCACTTGACCACGGAGAGAACATGCAAACTCCAAATATACAGATGTCAGGGTTGGGATCTAACCGAAAACCTCCTGTATACCAGACGAGGTAGTTAACATTGTATCCGGGCAAGCCGTACATCGAGCTGGAGTGGACCATGCGGCCCATCCCTATCGCGTGAGTGGCTCCCAATGTTGTTATTGTGTTCATATGTGTGTGGTCTGCTTGTGTGTATGTGTGTGCCGCACTGCGCTATGAACCCAACATGACCAGACTGTTGCCCCGCTCGCCCGGCTCGTTGAGAGGCTTGCCCACCCCACCGGGCGTTGTTGTGAAGATACCGCTGGGAGGAAGAATATCTCACAATACTGGAAGAGGTGAGGACTCCACGTAGTGGGTGATTAACTGGGTGAGTCGGTGAGTGAGTCGGTGGGTGAGTCGGTGGGTGAGTCGGTGGGTGAGTCGGTGGGTGAGTCGGTGGGTGAGTCGGTGGGTGAGTCGGTGGGTGAGTCGGTGGGTGAGTCGGTGGGTCAGTGGTTGAGGGAGTCGGTGGGTCAGTGGTTGAGCGAGTAGGTGGGTCAGTGGTTGAGGGAGTAGGTGGGTCAGTGGTTGAGGGAGTAGGTGGGTCAGTGGTTGAGGGAGTAGGTGAGGGAGTGGTTGAGGGAGTAGGTGAGTGAGTGGTTGAGGGAGTAGGTGAGTGAGTGTGTTAGAGAAGTGGGTGTGTTGAATTTGAGTGAATTGTTGAGTGAGTCGTTGGGTGAGTGAGTAGGTGGGTGTGGGTTAGAGATTGAGTGGGTGGTGGGTGATTGTGTGAATTAGTGGGTGGGTGAGTGAATGGTTTGAAGTGATTGAGTGGGTGAGAGGTGGGCTGGTGAGTGGATGAGTAAATTGGTGGGTTAGAGATTGAGTGTGTGGGTAACTAGGTGATTGGGTGGGTGAGTGGGTGAGTGGCTTAATGGATGAGTAAGTAGGTGAGTGCCTGGATAAGTGAGTGGATGGGAGCATGAGTGGGTGGATGGTTGAGTGAGTGGGTGAATTAGTGAGTGACTGTGTGGGTGGGCGGGTAGGTCAGTGCGTGATTGTGTGGGGGAGTGGGTGAGTGAGGGGTTGAGTGAATGAGTGAATAGGTGAGTGGGTGGGTGAGTAGATTGTTGGGTGAGTGGGTGGGTGGGTCAGTTAGTGGGTGGGTCAGTTAGTGGGTGGGTGAGTGAATATCGAAGGTTGAGCAGGTGAGTTAGTGTGTGATTGGGTGGGTGGGTGGGTGAGTCAAAGAGTGGGGCACCACGGTGGTGAGATGTTAACTACCTCACCTAGTATACAGGAGTTTGTGAATTTGATCCCATCCCTTCCACCTGTATATAAGGAGTTTGCATGTTCTCCCTGTGGTCGTGTGGATTTCTATCCGGGTCCTCCAGGTTTTCTCTCAGTAGCAGGGTTGGTGTGTGGTTTAGAGATTGAGTGGGTGGTTGGGTGAGTGTTGGGTGGGTGAAGTGAGTTGGTGGGTCGGTGAGTGCGTGGGTTTGTGATTGAGTAAGTGGATGAGTGAGGGGTTGGGTGAGCGATGGGTTGAGTGGGTGTGTTTTTTGTTCGTGAGTTTGTAGGTGGGTGAGTGGGTCAGTTAGTGGTTGGCGAGTAAGTGGGTGGGTGAGCAAGTGAGTGAATGGGTGTATTGGTAGGTGAGTGTGTAGCTTGGTGAGTGGTCTTAGGGTGAATCGGTGGGTAAGCAAGTGGTTAACTGAGTGAGTGGTTGGGTGGGTGGGTGAGTTGTTGACTGAGTGGGGTCAGCGAGTGGGTGGGTGAGTTGATGTGGGAGGTTTAGTGGGTAAGTTAGCGTGTGAGTGAGTCAGAGAGTGAGGCGCCAAGGTGCTGAGATGTTCACTGCTTCGCCTAGTATAAAGTAGTTTAGTTTAGGGGGTAGGTGGCTCGTTGGGTCGGTAGGCCTGTTGCAGGTCGAGTAGGTGGCTGGGTGAGTGAGTAGGTAAGTGGCTGGGTGAGTGGGTGGACTGGTGAGTGTGTGAGTTAGAGATAGAGTGGGTGGATGGGTGGGTGTATGATTGGGGGAGTGAAATGGTGAGTGGATGGGTGAATGAATTGTTGAGGGAGTGAGTCAGTGAGTGGGTGTGTAGGTGGGTGCGTAGGTAAGTGGTTAGAAAGGTGTGTGGGTTTTTTAGTGGGTGGGTCTTTGAGTGGGTATGTTGCTGAATGGGTAGGTGGCTGAATGGGTAGGTGAGTGGGTGGCTGCGAGTCAGAGAGTGGAGCCCCATGGTGCCGAGATGTTAACTACCTTCCTTACCTTTTGTACAGGAGGTTGTGGGTTCGGTCTCGATCGTGATGCCTGTATATTTGTAGATTGCATGTTCTCCTCGTGGTTCATGGATTTTTCTCCGAGTCCTCTGGGTTTTCCCTCCATATTTATCAACGTGCATTTAGAGGATATGGATGCTTTAAATGTCTACGTGATAATCCACTTGGTTAAGCCATCATTTGTGGCCATGTTGCTTCTGAATAAGATCTATATAGCTATGGGGGCCTTACCTTGTAAAAAAAAAATTTGTTTACAGTTGGGTGAGTGGGTATTTGAGTGCGTAGGTGGGTGAGTGAGTTGGTGGGTGGTTAGGTTAGTAGGTGAGGGGCTGGGTGAGTGAGTTGTTGGGTTAGATATGGAGTAGGTCACAGTGTGAGTGGGTGGGTTGGTGCGTGAGTTGGTCAGTGAGTGGGTGGGTGAGTTGGTGGGTGGGTTGTTGGGTGAGTGAGTTAGTGAGTGCGTGTGTAGGTGGGTGCGTGGATGAGTGGTTGAGTGAGTGGGTTAGAAATTGAGTGCGTGGCAGGGTGAGTGGGTTTTTGAGTCGGTTAGTGGGTTGGTGGGTGGCTTTAGTAGTTGAGTGGGTGAGTCAAAGAATTGAGCGCCACGGTGGCAAGATGTTAACTACCTCGCCTGTTATACAGAATGTTGTGGTTCGATCCCAACCCTGATGCCTGTGTATTTCACTCCACATTTAGAAACATGTAATAAGAGTAATTGGGTGCAATAAATGTATACAGCGACTTTGTTGAACTATCATTTGTGGCGAGGGTGCTTCTGAAAACAATCTTTATAGCTCAGTGGGCCTTACTGGGTAAAATACCGCTGGGAGGAAGAATATCTCACATTACCAGAAGAGGTGAGGACTACACATAGAGTGGGTGGGTCTGTGAGTGTGGCTCAGTGGTTGAGGGAGTAGGTAAGTGGGTGACTGAGTGTGTTAGAGATTGTGGGTGATAGGGTAAGTCATGGGTGTCTTGAGTTGGTGTGTTGTGTGAGAGTGAATAGACGAGTGGCTGGGTGAGTGGGTGGGTAGGTGAGTGGGTTAGAGATTGATTGGGTGAGTTAGTGGGTGGGTGGCTGAGTGGGTGGGTGGGTGAATGGGTTTAGAGATTGAGCGGTTGGTGGGTGATTGAGTGAATGAGTGGGTGGGTTTGTGAATGGTTGAGGTGAGTGAGTGGGTGGGGCAGCGCGTGAGTGGGTGAAGGTGGGTTGGTGAGAGGATGAGTGAATTGGTGGGTTCGAGATTGCGTGGGTGGGTGAATAGGTTTTACCTCTATACCTCTCGTGTCAGTTCAGAGGTTTTACCTCTATACCTCTCGTGTCAGTTCAGAGGTTTTACCTCTAAATCTCTCGTGTCAGGTCAGAGGTTTTACCTCTAAATCTCTCGTGTCAGTTCAGAGGTTTTACCTCTAAATCTCTCATGTCAGTTCAGAGGTTTTACCTCTAAATCTCTCGTGTCAGGTCAGAGGTTTTACCTCTAAATCTCTCATGTCAGTTCAGAGGTTTTACCTCTAAATCTCTCGTGTCAGGTCAGAGGTTTTACCTCTAAATCTCTCGTGTCAGTTCAGAGGTTTTACCTCTAAATCTCTCCTGTCAGTTCAGAGGTTTTACCTCTACATCTCTCATGTCAGGTCAGAGGTTTTATCTCTAAATCTCTCGTGTCAGGTCAGAGGTTTTACCTCTAAATCTCTCGTGTCAGTTCAGAGGTTTTATCTCTAAATCTCTCGTGTCAGTTCAGAGGTTTTACCTCTAAATCTCTCGTGTCAGGTCAGAGGTTTTCCCTCTCAATCTCCCGTGTCAGGTCAGAGGTTTTACCTCTAAATCTCTCGTGTCAGTTCAGAGGTTTTACCTCTAAATCTATCGTGTCAGGTCAGAGGTTTTACCTCTAAATCTCTCGTGTCAGGTCAGAGGGTTTATCTCTAAATCTCTCATGTCAGGTCAGAGGGTTTATCTCTAAATCTCTCGTGTCAGGTCAGAGGTTTTACCTCTAAATCTCTCAGTGTCAGGTCAGAGGTTTTACCTCTAAATCTCTCATGTCAGGTCAGAGGTTTTATCTCTAAATCTCTCATGTCAGGTCAGAGGTTTTACCTCTAAATCTCTCGTGTCAGGTCAGAGGTTTTACCTCTAAATCTCTCGTGTCAGGTCAGAGGTTTTACCTCTAGATTCCAAACTCTCCACCAAGGCAAAGACCAAAGAGCTCTCCAAGGATGTCAGGGACAAGATTGTAGACCTTCTAAAACCCAACTCTCAAAACCCCCTTACCCTTAAAACCATAACGGTCTAAACCCATCACCCTTTAAAATCCTAACCCATAAACCCCCAAACCTCTAACCCACTTAACCCTTCACCTAAACCCTTACAGCGAGGGAAAAAAGTATTTGATCCCCTGCTGATTTTGTACGTTTGCCCACTGACAAAGAAATGATCAGTCTATAATTTTAATGGTAGGTTAGTTTGAACAGTGAGAGACAGAATAACAACAACAAAATCCAGAAAACGCATATCAAAAATGTTATAAATTGATTGGCATTTAATGAGGGAAATAAGTATTTGACCCCCTCTCAATCAGAAAGATTTCTGGCTCCCAGGTGTCTTTTATAAAGGTAACGAGCTGAGATTAGGAGCACACTCTTAAAGGGAGTGCTCCTAATCTCAGCTTGTTACCTGTATAAAAGACACCTGTTCACAGAAGCAATCAATCAATCAGATTCCAAACTCTCCACCAAGGCCAAGACCAAAGAGCTCTCCAAGGATGTCAGGGATAAGATTGTAGACCTACACAAGGCTGGAATGGGCTACAAGACCATCGCCAAGCAGCTTGGTGAGAAGGTGACAACAGTTGGTGTGATTATTCGCAAATGGAAGAAACACAAAATAACTGTCAATCTCCCTCGGCCTGGGGCTCCATGCAAGATCTCACCTCGTGGAGTTGCAATGATCATGAGAACGGTGGGGAATCATCCCAGAACTACACAGGAGGATCTTGTCAATGATCTCAAGGCAGCTGGGACCATAGTCACCAAGAAAACAGTTGGTAACACACTACACCGTGAAGGACTGAAATTCT